CTCACTGGTTAAGAGCACTGACTCCTCTTCCAGAGGTCTCAAGTTCAATTCCTAGCACCCATATGGTGGCTCACCCATCTGTAATGGGATCTGATTTCTTCTGGTGTGCACTCATATACATAAAATAAATAAATATTTGAAGAAAAAAAAAAAAAGAATCCTGAATTGGAGCCAGGTGTGGTGCCTTTAAAACCCAGCACTCAAGAGGCAGAGACAGTACCAGTTCCAGGACAGCCAGGGCTGAAAAAAAAAAAAAAAAACTCTAAAAAAAAAAAAAAAAAAAAAAAAAAAAGAAAGAAACAAATCCTAGGTTAAAGAGCTGGACCATCCCAGTCAGCTTCTATTACTATAATAAAACACCTGAGGGGCTGCAGGGATGGCTCCGTGGTTAGGAGCACTACCTGCTCTTCCAGAGGATCTGGGTTCAAATCCCAGCACCACCCGGCAGCTTACAACTATAATCCAAGTCCCAGGGGACTCAACACCCACAGCAAAACACCAATGCACATTAAATGAATTAAAAAAAACTGCAATAAAATACATGAGATAATTAACTTGAAAAAAAAGGTTTGTTTCTTTATCTCACAGTTATTTCAGAAGGCAATGGTATAGCTAGCGGGGCAAAACTGTTCACTTCATGAGCTAGGAAGAAAGATTCAGGGAAAGGGCTGCCCCCAATGATATAAGGATTTCCTAATAGTTCCAAAATGGAGAATGAGGTTTTGCAAATAGGCCTGTGGGTGATATCAATAGTCAAACTGTCACACTCCAAAAACAAAAAGTCTATTTTTTCTTTTTCACCAGGAAAGTCGTCCTGAGTCAATGTCTGCTCTTTCTACTCCTACAGAAAGGCATATATGGGTCAGTAGATCAGATAAAAGCGGGTTTTTTTGTTTGTTTTTGTTTTTGTTTTTTGCCAGTGTACCAACTTCAAGAAAAGACAAGAGAACACACAGAGATAGAGAACAGAAATTATCTCACACCAAAGCCCAGGCTGGCCTGAAACTACATAGTCCAGACTGTTTCTAAACATTGGACAAGCACTTGTTTCAGCACCTCAAATACTTCTAGTGTCGTATTTTTATTTTTATTTTTAAATTTATTCTATGTGTATGAATGCTCTTCCTGCTCCTATGTCTGTGTACCACATGTGTCTGGTGCCCTTGGTGGCCAGAAGAGGGTGTCAGATCTCCCAGCTGGAGTTAGACAGTTATGAGCCAACATGTGGGTGCTAGGACCTGAACCCAAGTCCTCTACAAAAGCAGTAAGGGCCTTAACCATTGAGTCATCTCCTTCAAGTGTATTCTTTAAATTCTGTCAAATGGACATGAAAGCATTCCAGGAAGATTTTTTTTTCCCATTCAAACTTAATTTGAACTGCCAAATAGATGTGATACAAGCCAGAGGGTTTACACTCCCTGGCTCTTGCTTCTAGCCTGGAGATAAGCTCTGGAGCTAAAATTTGGTTGTATTTTAATTTAGAATGATAAAATTCAGAACCTTTTTAAAAAGATTTATTTTTATAGAAGAATGTTTTTTCTGTCCATATGTATATACACCACTTGCATGCCTAGTGCCCAGGGACATCAGAAAAAAGCATCAGATACCCTAGAACTAGAGCAACGGATGGTCTCAAGCTACCACAGCTACTCCCCAGTCCTCTGCCTCTCAAGTGCTGGGATTACCCACACAACTTGCTTACCACACAACAATCCCTGTTGAAATAAAGTATGAGGTACAATCAATTTATAGTAAACTGGGTATAGGTCTCTAAGCCAGTGGTTTTCACCCTTCCTAAGGCTGTGACAGTTCCTCATGTGGTGACCCCCCAACCACAAAATTATATTCACTATTCCATAAATGTAATTTTGCTACTGCTATGAATCGTACTGTAGATATTTTTGAAACCAGAGGTTTGTTAAAAGGGTCCTGACTCACGTGTTGAGAACCACTGGTTTGGTTTAAGAGCACTGTCTGTCCTTCCAGAGGGCCCAGGTTTGAACTACAGCAGGCAGCTAACTGCCATCTGAAACCCCAGCTCCATGGGGATCTAACAACCTCTTCTGTGTTTCCTGGCACAGTTACACTTGTAGTGCAGACAGACAGGCAGGCAAAACAATCATACACACAAAATAATAAAATAAGAAGCTTACAAAAGAGAAAAAAATAATTTGGGGCAAGTGAGAATTTTGAGCAAGTAAAGGTGCTTGCTGCCAAGCTTGAGTTTAATCACCAAGGCGCACGCCGTAAAAAGTAAAAGTTGACTTCCGGGACTATACACAAAATAAAAACTTTAAAGTAATGAATAAATGTCATTTTTAAAATTTTTACAAGATTCGCCGGGTGTTGGTGGCGCACGCCTTTAGTCCCAGCACTTGGAAGGCAGAGGCAGGCGGATCGCTGTGAGTTCGAGGCCAGCCTGGTCTCCAGAGTGAGTGCCAGGATAGGCTCCAAAGCTAGACAGAGAAACTCTGGAAAAACCAAAAAAAAAAAAATTTTTTTTTTTTTTACAAGATTCACTAAGTTGCCCAGTCTGACCTCCAACTAACTGACCATTATATACAATTCTGTCACCGCAGTCCATAGGATTGCAAGCATGTGCTAATATCACTCCCAGTTCAAACTACGACATAGTCTTACATTGTTTTATGTGTATGGGTGTTTTGCCTCCATGTATGTGTGTGCACCACATATACACTTAGTGCCCAAAGTGAACCGAGGGTGTTGGATCTCCTGGAACTACAGCTGTTTTTAAGACACCATGTGGGTGCTGGGAATTGAACTTGGGTCCTCTTTTACCCCCTGAAGCATCTCTCCAGCCCCCCATACTACATATTTAAATAAGCTACTATATAAATTACTTTACATGTTGCCTGAATATAGTGAAATAAGAACAAGAGTAACTATTCCTATAGTCCACAATCACACTTTCTTTTTTACTTGTTTTTTTTTTTTTTAAGTTTTTTGAGCAGGGTTTCTCTATGTAATAGCCCTGGTTGTCCTAGAACTCACTTTGTAGGCCAGGCTGGCCTCAAACTTAGAGATCCTCCTGCCTCTGCCTCTGCCTCTGCCTCCTGAGTGCTGGGATTAAAGGAGTGTACCACACTGCCAGCTTGCACACCTTCTTTTAAAGTGACTCATGAAAACTCATACAGAGTTTGAAGTCAGCCAATTTAAATAGGCCATTCCAGGCCATCCAAAGCTACATGGTAGAACCCTGTCTTAAAAACAAAAACAAAACAAAACAAAAAAACACTCATAGAATCTGGAAAAAATCTCTTGTAAAAACCTAGATAACCAAAAGCCTAATTAGCCAGCTGAAAATTTCTAAAGTGTGGTCCCTGGGTGTGCCTGATCATTGTCTTGGAACCTGGCGGGAAGCAGCCAGCTTTGAGGTGAGAACTAGAGATGAGCATGTCAGCACCAGCAGCCCTCCAGGTATGTCTGCTCAGGTTAGACAGTACAGACTAGTTCCACAAAGCCTGGGTACTTTGCTCTGCTGGACAAGCAGGTCCTAACAGGAGCCATCTGGTTCTCAGGTGTTCAGTACACCCTCCACAGCACAGCTTCATAGGCTGCTGTACGCATTCCAATTTGTTCACAGGTTAATGCAGTGTCACCCAATCAACAGCTGGCTAGACATCACCTCCACTAGTTAAGTTCACAGAAGTAATGATGTGACCATGCTATACTAACTGCTGAACACCTGATGTAGCTGGTGTGGTAGGGCACACCTTTAGTTTGAGCATTTGGGGGACAGAGGCAGGAATATCTCTGTTTGAGGCCAGCCTGGTCTATATAGAGAATTCCAGGACAGCAGAGGTTGGTTCTCAACCTTACGAATGCTGTGACCCTTTAATAATACAGTTCCTCATGTTTCGATGAACCCCCAAAAATAAAATTATATTTGCTGCTACTTCATAACTGTAATTTTGCTACTACTATGAATCATAATGTAAATAGTTTCAGAGTCAGAGGTTTGGCAAGTGGGTGGAGACCCAAGGTTGAGGACCACTGCCACAGAGACATTAAACAGTAAGTAAATATCTAGAGCTGTTAACTAGCAAACCTCTACCTCCAGTCCTCTAGCAAACAATCCAGGCTTAGAAAGTGCCGAACGCTTTGAAATCTAAGTGAAAAATTCATTTCTAATTTGTCAAATATAAAAAGAGGATTTACTAAACAGATCTCTATGCAAATCAACTATAAAACATAAAATGAAAGCTAAACTTTCTTTCATCTTTAAAAAGCATTCTATTTTTGGGTCAGAGAGATGGCTGAATTCTTATGAAGTCTTGTAGACCCAGGCTGAGTTCACAGCACCCACACTGGGTGACTTACAACCGCCTAAAATTCCAGTTCTAGGAGGCTGGACATATCATCTTCTGGACCCAAATGTTTAACTAGTTTTTCTGAGCTACAGTGAACATTTATATTCCTATCCATAAAGATAAATAGTAATGTGGAAATCAAACACCTGAGAAAAGAATAGTGTATATGGCCGGGTATTGGTGGCGCACGCCTTTAATCCCAGCATTCGGGAGCCAGAGGCAGGTGGATCTCTGTGAGTTCCAGGGCAGCCTGGTCTCCAGAGTGAGTGCCAGTATAGGCTCCAAAGCTACACAGAGAAAGCCTATCTCGGGGTAAAAAAAAAAAAAAATAGTGTATAAGGAGGGAAAAAATATTGTTACAAATTATCTTTATTTATTTTTACACTACAGATAAAAGCCAAAGCTTCTTAAAAGCTAGGATGCATCTGTCCACAAATTTAATCTCAGCACTAAAGAGGCAGAGGCAAGTGGGTCTCTCTGAGTTGAGGCCAGCTTGGTCTACATAGGTAGTTCCAGGCCAGCCAGTTATATGGTGAGACATACTCTCAAAAAGAAGCCCCCACCAAAAAATAAAAAAGGCCAGGCAAACACTATACTTACCAAGCTACACTCTCAGCCCCATTTCTTACTTGATTCAATGAACAACTTTTTTTTTTTCTTTTTTAGATTTTCTGTTACTTACGAAGCTCCTACACCCAAGACACTGAACTCCAGGGTAAGCAATGGCTGCAAAGCATTAATTTATGCCTTTTTTGACACCACATTCACTAGTGACCAAAGGTGAACAGGCAACACAAAGGCTAGAACAGTATTCTTAACACAAGTGAATATAATCATTTAAATTTAAAATGCCTAGGATGTCTTTTGACACACACACACAGCTGTTCTAGTCATAATAACCAATGACCACCATCAGGTAAAAGAATTTTTTAAAAAATCATGGTACATCTGATGAAATATTAACAAGCAATAAAAAGAAATGAACTACTAGTATACTTGAAAACACAAATCTCAAAAGTATTACTTGCCCAGACAATGGTGGCGCACGCCTTTAATTCTAGCACTCTTGAGGCAGAGGCAGGCACCTCTCTTGAATTCAAGGCCAGCCTGGTCTACAGAGTTGAGTTTCAGAACAGCCAGGACTACACAAAGAAACCCTGTCTTGAAAAACCAAAACCAAAACAAAACAAAAAGCAGCATGCAAACCAAACAAAAAACATTATGATAGCCAGGGATACTTAAGTCAACCCTGTCTCAAAAAGAAAAAAGAAAAGGCAGGAAGGCCTGCAAGGCATTATGTTACGTGGATGAAGTCATCCACACTAGTAATGACAGCACTAAAGAGGAGGAAGCAGGGGGATGAGTTTGAGGTCAACCTCTGCTACACTGTGAAACTGTCCCAATTTTTTAATGATTTATTTATTTTCATCTTACATGCATTGGTGTTTTGCCTGAATGTATGTCTGTGTGAGAGTATTGGATCCACTGGAACCAGAGTTATAGACAGTTGTGACTTGCCATGTGGGTGCTGGGAATTGAACCTGGGTCCTCTGGAAGAGCAGCCAGTGCTCTTAACCACTGAGCCATCTCTCTAGCCCTGTCCCAATTGTTTCTTTTGTTTGTTTTGTTTTGTTTTGTTTTTTTAAGTTACACATTTTATGGCCCAACTTACAAAAATAAAAAGGTAAAGCTATAGGGTCAGAAATGAGATCTTTCTGGGAAATGGAAATGTTCTGTATCTTTAACTGGTGGTAGCTATATGACTGCTCATTAGAACGTCCACTTAAAAAGTGTTGATGGACTGGGGAAGTGGTGGCACACGCCTTTAATCCCTGCACTCGGGATACAGAGGCAGGCAGATCTCTGTGAGTTCCAGGTCAGCCTGGTCTACAAAGCTACACAGAGAAACCCTATCTTTAAAAACAAAACAAAAACAACAACAACAAAAAAAAAAAACAATGATCAAAGCCAATCAATCAATTTACTTGCTTCATTTTTGAGGTAGCAATAGATTATGATGATCAATCAGGTCAAAGGTAAGTTTCCTCATAAGAATGTAAAAAAGGTCTCAGGATTCGAGCCTGATTCTCAGCTATGGGGAGAATGAGGCAGAAGGCTCCCTGGAGCAGCCCAAGCAAGAACTATGGAATGAAGAAAGGAAGGCAGAGAGAGAAAAAAAAAAAAGAGAGAAGGAAAGGGGAAACGGGGAAGATGGAGGAAGAAAAGAGGAAAGGTCTAATTTAAGCTCTCTTAACTAGGTAATTTTCTAACCTATCTCAAGTGGAAGAACATACAATTGTATATTGATATAATACAGAGATGACTTCGACTAGGGGCTACATAAACAAATTACTCAGTAGCTATCAAGCTCCAAGTGGCATTCTGAAGATTAAAATGAAGGTACCAGACACCACTAGGTCACCGTGTCTAAGGATGGCGCGCAAAGCATGAGTACCGGGGAGCACGGAGGCTTTTCCAAAGAGATGGCATTTTCTTGCCAGCGGTTACCTCATAGCTCTGTATAATGAAAGGCCAGTGAAGTTTCTTTACAAGTTATTTGCTAAATGCTTTACAGAACACAAAGCTGGGCCGGAACACTTTGGAATCCAATGAAAGGAGAAGGGTTCAAGACAACACACTTGGGCAGGTCTAACATTTCTTCAATACGACTTCTACACGTTTGTCACTCCCTACTAGCAACGCTGTTCCTGGCTGCTGTTTGATTTGTTCCTGGAGGTCCTTTCGAACAAAATTCTTTCTTTACATAGATTTGCTGGGTGTGCACGCTGGAATGGGCCTGAGAGCCTCTGCAGCAGAAGGAAAGGCCAGCTCAGTGGGTGTCCCTCAGCTGGGCAGCAGGACAGAGCAGGGCAGAGCAGAGCAGAGCCTCCTGCCACATCTGC